CGTGCTACGCCAGGTGCCGCAGGAGAGCAGGGCACAGCCAGAGCCCCCAGGACAGGAAGGCTTGCTCCACGTCACCATGCTATGCTGCAGGCCCCGACTGAGCTGTGACAGCACTACGGATGCGCTGGAAAGGCAGGGTTGCTCCAGGCTGTGGGATCAGGGATGTCTTCACGGCGGCTTTTGAGCTGAGACTTGAACCAACCGGCCCCTGATACGTGGTCGCTGCAATGGCCAGGATGGCCAGGTCCCAGGCTGCATAAGAGGCCCTGTGTCACACACACGGAGACCGCCACACCAGGGGGACCACACTCCAAGCCTCGGGAGATGAGGCCTCTGGCTCCCCCACCTCCCGTCACACCTTTATCCAAGGTCACCATGGGATTCTCGCTAGCCCCCGGCATTTTTCCCTGTCCCCATGGGTACTCTCCACACAGCAGGCAGGGTGAGTGCCCAGAGACCTAAATTGAAGCAAGCATCTCCTATGTGACACCTTCCAGTGGCTCCCTTTGTCACCCCTGGAGCAAAACTCAGCCCTGGCTACAGCCTGCCAGCCCTCCACAACCTGGCCCTGGCCATGGCCATCTCTCCCACTCCTGCCTATGACCTTCCCTCCGGTCACTCCACCCCAGCCACACTGCTCTTCTTGCTAGTCCCCAACAAACAAAGCTCATGCCTGCCCCGGGGTCTTTGCACATGTTTTCCCCCTTCCAAGAACGCCATTCCCCAGAAACTGCATGGTCTCCCCGTACTTCTGTCGGGCCTCTCGAAAGTCTTCTCCTTAGAGAGGCCTTCCCCAAGGACCCCGCCTCAAATAGGGCCTTTACCCTTCCCCTCCATGGTGTTCCTCATCAGCTACCTTCACACATTTGTTCATCTTCTTGGTTACTGTCTGTCTCCTCTACCGGCATATAATGCCACAGGGCACAGACTATTTTGTCTGTCTTGTTCAGTGCCCAGAATAGCACCTGGCACAAAGGCGGCGTCTAATAAATACATGCAGAATGACCCCCATGGACACGTGGGACCACAGTCAACACGCCTCTCCTCCCTGTTTTCAGCAGCCAACGCCAGCGTTTGACTTCCTCGAATGCTGAATGACTTCCAAATATCTATCCTTGGGCCGGACCTCTTATCTGAGTTCCAGCCTCGAATATCCGGTTGCTTACTATGTATCTCCACTTGGATTCCCACAGCCTCCCCACGGGGATCTCCACGCCGCTCTGCGCTGGACTCCTCGCCCCCAGTGTCACCACACACTGAGACCCCGTCCAGCCTCCTGCGTCCCAGTGGATGGCGCTGCCTCCCACCTGCTGCAAGAGCTGGAGGTCTCCTCCCCCGCCGGCCCACCAGCCCAGCACCCAGGCCGGTTGGCTTTGCAACCTTTCCCAGCTGCAGGCACTGCCCCCTGGGACTACTGCAACAGTCTTGTCACTGGCTTCCCCGAGCCACCTCTGGGCCCCCTCTGCTCTCCACACGGCGGCCAGTGTGAGCCTTTGTAGCAGTGTCCCATCACGTCACTCCCGTGCTTGAGTCAGGGTTTCTTTCCTCTCCTCTCAGGGTGAAGATTGGAATCCTAATGTGGCTTCTACAAGCGTGGGAGGCAGTCAACCAGGACACACCAGTACAGCCGCACGGGTGGTTAACTGCCAAATACCCTGTTCCTCTTGGTTGACAGCCAGTGCCAGCAGGGCGTGGTGGCTCATGCCTGTCACCCCAGCACTCTGGGAGGTCAAGGCGGGAGGATTGCTTGAGGTCAGAAGTGCGAGACCAGCCTGAGCAAGAGCAAGCAAGACCCTGTCTCTGCAAAAAATTTGCATCATGCATGCTGAGCCCACCACACCAGGGTGGTGGTGCACACCTGTAGTCCCAGCCACTCAGGAGGCTGAGGCAGGAGGATCGCTTGAGCCCAGGAGTTCAAGGCTGCAGTGAGCTATGATGATGCCACTGCACTCCAGCCTGGGTGACAGAGCGAGACTCTGTCTCTAAAAGAAAAAAAAAATCAGGCATTCATATAACAATGCTGGTGGGTGCACGTGTGTTCATAGGTATGAATGTCTTCTTTTCTACAGCTGTAATAACCATGGAGATGGTAACAATTAGTAGACACAATCTATGCAGTAAGGAAAATGCCCTGAATATTCAGATGTCTCTTATATAAGCCAAGAGTTCCTCTTTTCACGCTACTTAATTACTTCCTATTACCCAAGCAGCACATATTCTTTCCACAAAAACACACTATTTGAAAGTGCCTTACTTATGTAAGGGCGAGCATTTGCTCTACTGCCGCCAGCACGGCCCATCGGCTTTGAAGACTCAAGCCAAAAGCAAATTCTCTAGCCGTGACCCCAGGCCAAGAGCCTGCTTTTATCTTCTCAAAACAATGGATGCGTGTTTTAAAGTACCATTAGGAGGCTAGCCCTGCGCACATTACGGAGGGGGAGGACCGTCCCAGTGGGTGCTGATGCGTTCAGTGCAGGCGTAAGCTCAGCTAGTGTAGTTCTGTCTCCAGTACCAAAGCTCTCCCCTCCCGAGCAAAAGCCAACCCGCCTCATACAACCAGCATCAGCCTCAGGCAACACTGACAAGCTCCCTTTCAGGTGCAGCCACCTGTCTCTGCTCAGCCAGACCACAGACACAGATCAACAGGACCCACATCTGCGCGCAGGCGAAACAGCCCTGGAAGAACCCTGCAGCGAGGGCCCTGCACTCAGGCACGTCCTTCCTTCCATCCCCTGCTGACACTCACACTGCGGCAGTGTCCTCTCGGAGGGAGGCTGGCCTCGGCCAGGACTGTATCTCCAGCCAGAGGCAGGTGCCTCCCCTCAGCCTCCAGCAGGGCTCATAGCCACTGTTGCCGAGATCTGAAATGGTGTCAACAAAGTGCCAATAACGTCTCGGAGCCTGCTGCTCTCGGCGCCCGTGAACCGAGGAGGCGCCCTGAGAGGGAGGCAGAGGGACAGGCAGTCACGCCCAAGGCCCCGCCAGCAGGAGACCAAGCAGGACAAAGCCATTCCCCGGGTGCCATCAAAATCTTCCAATTTCACACAGAAAATGAGTCCTGGCTTGAGTCTTATGCACGTTCAGTTGTCCGCATTTCAGCTGAATGGATTCCTTTGAGAGCTGGAATCTTAACCCTTGGAAGGTCCGATTCGCCTCCACCGAGAGCTGCGCTGCAGGCAACGCGCGTCTGTGTCTCTCTAGCCACGGTGTGGACAGAGAAAGCCTCGGAGCGGGCGTCTCTCCATGCCCAGGAAGGTCCCCGAGTGGAGAGAGGAAGCAGCCCCTCGCCATGCGGGTCTGGGACAAGGCAGTGACAGCTTGTGCGGCTGTTTGGGGTGTGGCGCTAAGACATCCTGAGCCCCCACTCCCGAGCCAGGTGTAGGCCAGGACTCTCACCTGCCCCCACCCGCTGCCACACCTGGGTCCAGGGTTCCAATCTGCTATCCAAAGGCCAACCTGCAGCTCCGGTGTCGGTAAGAAGCCCCGCAGTGCCCTCGGGCCGGGCTACACGGGTGCTGCCATTTCCAGGGGAGGCCTACTCCTCCTGGTCCAGCGCGCATGCTCACACCCAGGGGCCTGCCTCATCCTCCCTGTGACGCTCACTGCCGGGGCTTCTGCTTCCCGACACCTCCTTCCGTCCTATGCCACACCGCACTCGTCATCTGTCCTTTCTGATCTTTGAGCTGTGAGTTCATGCCACCCCACGACCAGCTGCATCCAATGGGGGTCTCAGCCCTGGGGGACAGAGCAAGTAGCATCTTGCATTTTAAGCAGGGTCAAGAGAGGCAGGGAACAGAGGGGCAGGGGGCAGGGGCTGCCCAAGGAAAACTTACCCTGGTTCTGGAAATCTGCCCCTGCTGGCTTGTAAAAGCCACTCAATCCACTACAACATGGATGAACCTTGAGGACACTGTGCTAAGTGAAAGACTTTGGTCACCGAAGGACAAAGACCACAGGGTTCCGCTTCTACGAGGTCAGTCCCCAGAGGAGTCAGATTCTTGGGGACCGAGAGGAGAATGGTGCCTGCCAGGGCCTGGGGAGTGGTTTCACGGGGACAGACTTCCCGTTTTGCTAGAAGAAAAGAGTTCTGGAGATGGGTGGCGGCGGTTCCACAACATGAATGGATTTAACACCATTGAGTTCTGTGCTTAAAAATGGTTAATACAGTAAACGCTATGTTGTGTATTTCATCACAATTAAAAAGAAATTTTAAAATGGTTAAGATGGTAAAAAAAAAAGTCACAATTGGTAACTTTATTCTAAATTAAAGACTAAATTAGCACATATACCTAAACAACTACATTGGCAGGGAAATACCAACAAACCAAAACAAGTCACCAATCCACAGACCAAGCCTCGCACTCACCTGTTCTCTTCCCGGAGGGCTGTCCCCTCTGTCAGTTAGTTCCTAGATCTTTGGCCCCAAACCCGACTCTGCCCTCCCATCCTGCCAGTCGCACCTCGTTTCCTCACCAGTCCCTCTGGAGACGGAGCCCTGCTGCGGGGTGGGGAGTCCCCTGGGCCAGCCCCCAGCTCCCTCGGCCCGCGCAGACCTGCCTTCGTCGGCTCTGGCCCGGGGGAGTCCTCATTCGCCTGTTTTCCTCTCAGCCCAGCTGAGAACCCACAAAGGCTGCTGGTTGGAGAAGGAGATTGAATGTCCCCACTGACACGACACCCTTCAAAGGCCCTTCCTGCTGCCCACATTCAAAGGCCACATATTCTAAGACAACAGCAGGGACCAACCGCAGCTTCTGAGAGGAGGCTGCGGGGGACGGCGCGTGGGTCTCACCCACGCTGCCCGGGCCTCAGCCCTTCTCTGTGGCGCCGGGCCCACAGCAGCGATGTAACACCGAGGTCAGGGCCCGCCGCAGGCGGAAGCCCTTGGGGATTTTTGAGGCCACTGAGAAAAGGTTAATGGAGGCAGTTTCAAAGCTCTCAGCAAACAGCACCAGGCAGGAGCTACTCTGCAAAGACAACAGGCCTGCCGCCATCTCACTTACCTGGTTACAGGTGTTAATATCTACCCCATTCCGCAGGTGATCCAAAGCTTTGTCCAAGTTACCTGATCTTGCTGCCCTCAGAAAGCTGGTGGCGGCATCGGCCTGTGAGGAGAGAAACAGGCTGTGAGTGTCCGCTGTGTGTGGACGACCTCACTGTCCCATCCAAGCCCCCCAACGGTGCCCTCGCTGGCCTGCTCTGGGCCCAGAACGTGAGGCTGCCTGAGAGCCCAGGCCTCGCTTCCTCTTGGTACTTTTATGAGCAACACTCTTGGTGAGGACCCAGCAGGGACTGGCCTGCAGCCGGGATCCCACCCCGGGCCCGCGCCGCACGGCCTGGCGTGCCGCTGCTTTGACGTCCCCAGGCCTCGCTGCTTTGACGTCCCCAGGCCTCGTGAGCCAGGAACGCGGGCGCCGGAGGAGCTTAGCGTGTGCTCTTTGGTGCCGTTTTGTGGGTTTTTAAAGTAAACAACACACAGCACCTACTGTGTGCTAAGAACCGTTACCAGCGCCCCACACATACAGTCAAACCGGTGGCATCAACCAACTGCAAACCAAAAATATTCCGGAAAAAAATAATTAAAAAGTAACAACATAACAATAAAAAACAATACAGATAAAAAAGCAACACAGTACAGCTATTTACCCAGCAGCGACATTGTCTTAGACTGTTACGAGGTATCCACACCATGCTGCAGCCGGGACTCGAGCACCCGTGGGGGTTTGTTCCCAGAACCAATCGCCTGAGGGACGGCGACGGCTGCGACATGCAGGTACGCGCTTAATCCTCACGTCAGAAACCTAAGAGGCAAGTGTGACTGGTCCCATTTTACAGATGAGGGGGCTGAGGAGCGAAGTGACTGGCGCAGGGTCACACAGCAGGTAGGAGGCACGGCCAGGGCTGAGACGCAGGTAGCGTGGCTCTGACGGTCACAAGCTTCGCCTCCAGCTCTGCAGCCAGCTCCAACGCCCAGGAACGCGTCACATTTCCCAAACGACAGTGCAGTGGTGCAGTCCCTCAGCTGTCGCTCTGCCACCTACCCCACACACTGCAAGGCCCCACCACCTGGAACGCGTGTTTGCATTAGAGATGAACGACAGCCAAAGAAAGCAAGGACAGGGGATGACAGAATAAAGTCTGCCAGTGCAGACGCACGCGGTGGAGAGAGCACAGCACAGGGCGCTGGCCCGGGCGCACTGGCGCTCCGCTGGGTAAGCCGAACGCCCCAGCCACCCTGGGCTCCTACGTCCTTATCTGCAAGCTGGGGTCGGGGGGAATGCCTTTCTCATACCCTTGTTGTGGCATTTAAAGAAAATAATAATGTACACGAATGTGAGTGCAGTGCCTGGCACGCAGCACGCATAGGCTGAGTTTAAATGAGAGTGGTCATGTGTGGAAGCCACCTGTGGAAGCGTGTGAGGCCATTCCTCCAGAGACCACACCTGGCGGTGTCCTCTCCACCCGGCACTGTCTCTTTCCTCTGCGTGCCCTCCTCAGGAAACAGGCTACGGTGGGTTGAATGGCGCCCCCAAGAGATATGTCCACACCCTAGTCCCTGGGACCTGTGAATGGGACGTGTTTTGGAAAAAGGGTCTTGGCAGGTGTAACTAAGTTGTGGATCTTGAGACGGTCCTAGATTACCTAGGTTGGCCCTAAATTCAATGACAAGTGTCCTTAGAAAAGACAGAAGAGGAGGAGGAGAAGACGACAACACACACGCTCACGCCGACACAAAGACGAGGCAGAGACCGGAGAGAGGCAGCCACGAGAGCAGCGGGCAGCCCCCAAGGCAGAGCACAGCCCTCCCCTGGCGTCGGGGGCGTGCGCCCTGCCAGCACCGTGACTGCAGACTTCTGGCCCCCAGACCGTGAGAGAGTAAGTTTTTGTGGTTTTAAGCCACCAAGTCTGTGGTCATTTGTCACAGCCGCCACAGGACACGAATGCTCATGCTAGTGATCACCACCCCTAAACACGGAACACTCGAAATCCACAGCCAACGATCTCACGCGACACCCTACAGTGAAACTCTGATGCTCCTCCCCGAAGCGGCGCCACACGTCTCTGCCAGCTCCGCGGCGGCAGGATTCTCCGGCCTTGCAGACAGGCGGGTCCTCCCTTCCCACGCAGAAGCTCGCCTGCCCTCCCTGCTCACGACCTCGGGCCTGCAGTCGCTCTGCCTCCCAGCCGCACCCTCAGCCCTAGCCCCAGGTCCCGATTTCCTGCCCCCTCCCCGAGGCCCAGCGCAGGTCCCCATTATACAAGTTCCAGTCCCAGCCCTGGGGCTGCCCACTCGGGACAGATGCACACCCGATCTCACAGCCCCCAACGTGGCAGGAGGCCCCCTGTTCCCACCTCCCGTGTCCTCGTGGCGCTCCCAGGCCCTGTCCTCCTCTGGCCTGCACCCTGGTCACTCCCTGGGCCCTGAAGCTCTACCTCGCCCTGGTTTGCCGACTCCAACTAACTTCCGCAGGTGCTGTCCTCGGGGACTCGGGACTGACTACCTTTAAACCCAGGAACCACAGAACAGGAGCTCGATTTTCAACATGCATTTTAAACACATCTTTCTCTACTTATTTAATTTACGCGAGTCTTGTCTCCCCAGCCAAACTGGTTGCTTCTTGGGGCAGGGACCGAGTCTTCTATCTCTTTTGAATCCTTCAAAGCATTACGTGTCTGCTAGGCCAAGACCTCCTGTGACCCGAAGCACGTGGCACCTATGTCCTGGGCCCCTCAGCAAGGCTTCCATGGTGGAGGAAACATTTCAGAAAAGAGCACGAGCCGACTCCTGGAGAATCAGACTCAAGGTCTCGTCTCTCGGATAAACATCTACGCAGGCTGCTGATCCAGAAAGTCCGTCTGGATTCTACTATTCGGAAAAACACTGTATTATTCCCCAAGAATGAGAGTGTTAAAGAGACATTTCTCCCACTGATTAACTACCTTTTGCAGCATAATAATAGGATTCAGGATGAAAACCTGAGAATGGGTGGATAAAAATAGACGCCATATCAACGAATGACACTGTGTGGCTGTTGAAAGCGCCGCGTCTAGGAAGCAAAGCAGAATGTCTACGACAGACAGATTCACGGAGGATTAGAAAAGCCCAATCTAGACTAGACTGAGGAAGGCTAAACGGTTTCCATAATGTAAAATAAAATTATAACACCAGTCATTGGGCCAACTGTACTCCCACCGTTATATCTTTTAGTCTCTATCACAGCCTGCGAGGTAGGGAAAATCGCGACCCCGTTTCAGAGGAGACGAGACAGGTGGGAGAGGTCTGCAGAGAGGCGGTGCTCAGGGGCCAGCACAGGTGCACCTGACCGGAGCCCACACCGTTCCCACGCGGGTTCTCGCAATTCAAACCTGAGGGTGTCCAGACAGCCCCGCGGACCGCAGCAGCTGGGCGGGGCTGCCCACCTTTGCCGGTTAACCCACGGCGGAGAAAGGTGCTGGGTGGGTCCTGGCTCTGCTCCTGAGCACTCTGCCAGGGCCCAGACAGGTCTCTAGAGGGCAACCGTCTCATCCCTACCTCCCTGACGATGACACTGAGGCCCACGGAAGTAAAGTGACTGGCTGAGGCCACCTGGGTAGTTAGAGGTGAAGTTCAATTGCTAAGCCTTGTTCGTTTTTCTTTTTGGTCTTCTGTAGGTATATGGGGTCAGGACAGAAGCCAGTCAGAGGTGAACAGGTAACAATGCCACACCCACTGCCACCACCCATCGCTCAGTCTAACCCTACAGTGTGTTCACTGAGGTCCTGTTTCAAGCCCGGGATCCTGCTAGGGAAGAGAGAGAGACAATGAAAAATCAGAGCACAGCCGTCGTTTGCCCTCTCGGTTTGAACAACAGAGCGAAAGGGGTCGTCTGTGCCTGTGCACATCCACGACCCGTCCCACAGGTCTTCCCTGCGAGCCTCCTAGGGGCCGGTCATACTTAAGGTCCAGAAAAAATGGTCCTAGTTGCAACAGCCCTACGCCCATCTATCCACTTCACCTGCTCCGATTCAATGACCTCTCCTAGGTGCATCTAGAACGGTCTGTGTCATCCAACAGGGCAGAAGGAGAGTCAAAAGAATCCAGCATGTTCCATTAAAAATATTTACCTGAATAAAAACTAACAAGAAAAACAACAAACTACAAACCTGTCTCCAGGCTATGACAACTCAGAACAGAGGGACCGGCCTTCTGCACAAGCCACCCATCACCTGCCGGCAGCCTCAAAGAGGCCATTAGGTGAGAGCAGCCGGGGGAGGCGGGAGGCTGCCCAGCCACCGCGTCCAGAAAGCCAGTCCCTGGTGTCCCGCACCTGGACTGCAGTGAGGAGCTGGCACCCTCTGCGCGGCACCCCTGGCCGCAAGGCTGCCCTCACATCTCTGCCCCACCTCGTTTTGAGCTTGTTGTGGTCTAATTTCACCAGTGTGTAGGGGTGCGCAGCCTTTTGTTATGTCCCTGGCCCACATCCCTGCTGGCTAACCCATGTGATGTCCCTGAACTTCCTTTCAAAGCAAGTTTACTTTTACTTTTATAAAGTTCTTCCTATGTTTTAATGAAGCTACGTAAATCAATTCATTTGTTCTTCCCAATAATCCCTCGAAGGAGATACTTTTATTATCTCCTCTCTACCGATAAGGTGACTGAGTCACAGAAATTTCAGTAATGTGTCCAAAGTCACACAGCTCGTATGTGGGTTGGCCAGGATTTGACTCTAGGGAGTGTCCCTCCAGGGTCTTTCTCTTAACCACTGTGCTATATGGCCCACAGGCCCACCATTTTCTAGCGCTCCTAGGGTCCCTCTCAAGTTCAGCGCCCCGTGCTCAGAGCCAGGCTCACTGCGGGGCCAGGAGACAGAAGAGGAGGGCGGGGAGCGGCAGTTCTCGGCCTCAGGCTCTCATCGCGGCTACTCTGGAAGGGAGGTGAGCCCTGGCTACCTGAGACACCCAGACTATTATTAAACTTGCACTTCCTGAGTGGGGTGAGACCAATATAGCCTTAGATGAGTAGCCGAGGGGCCCCAGCGTCCTGGGAGGGAAAGGCCCAAGGCCAGGCGAAGCTCCCTCTCCGCGGGGAAGGGATCCCAGGGCCTCTTCACACCTCTCTGGGGCG